ATAAGACTTATGATTTGATTTTTATTTTAAAAATTGAAAATAAAAATTGAATTGATATATCTCTTGAACTAAAGGAGCTAGATCATATATTTTTATATATATACCCTGTAATTTTTGCAGTTTTTGAGCGCAGGCCTCGAAATTTTACAATTATATTACCTCTAGAGATGTTAAATCTATATCCATGCTCACTGGAGGCACATATCTTCTATTGTCTTGCAGCTAGATTTGCTTCAAATAATAGCGGCCAAAAAGCTATATCTTCCAATAGTTCTGAGCGAGAATACTGCTTGGCAGAAAGCAGAGGGAAACTCCATTTAACTAGCCTTCTTTCGCAAAGAATTTTAACTGCTACTTGCTCGAACTTCTTGTACAACTTTTCTTTCAAAAGGGAACCAAGTGAATCGGTTACTTTTGAAATGTAACCTAAGCAGGAGGAGAATCATAAACGTTTGGGTAGTGAGTACCTTCGAGTCGGGCAGACCCGAGCGCCATCGGCACAGGACACTTTCAGCTTGTTTTCGTTTGTCGCTGCTGTTGGTTTCTGTTTGTTTTTTTTTTTTTCTTTTCTTTTTTTCGTTTTTGCGTCCTGTCAAAAACAGAATAAACACTATTTCGAATGTTAATTTGCAACGTGGAATCACTTGCAAATGGCTTAATAAAATCAAATTTAAAAGGACAATGCCGTAAGTAAGCAACTGGCGACAGTTGGCCATTTTCCAATCTTGAGTCCCATTCGAACTTTCGCCCGCTGATTCCTCGGCGCCCCGTCGCTTCTGCTCTGTTACTTGGTCGTGAAGTGCTGCGGCATCTGGTGCCATGTCAGCGGCTTTTGTTTTTGCATTCGGGATTGCGAAAAGCAGTGAACCGTAACGCTGGCCAGATACCAGATAACAGCTACCAGATACAGGATAACAGACACCATGCTGCGCGTCCGCAGTCCGCAGTCCGCTGTCGCTGTCCGGCATCCTTTTCCCTCTAATTCTGACCGACACTAATATTGTTGAAAATATTCGGTGCCTACTTCAGCTGTTGTCATACAAATTCACACTTCATCTTGAGGCCAGGCCGGCAACGCCTTTAAGCCTGCACCTTAAAGCATTGCCAATAAGTGGAGGATAAATCCTGAAAAGGTTTCGGCTTTCTTATGGAAATTAAGTGCGGATCTAAATTTGAACTGGTATCAGACCTAAACTGCGGCCTGTTCATTGCATTAAATAATAATCTGTTTACGAATTAAGATTCGTTAGGATAAGCTATGAATTGATAATGGTCTTTCATAGAAGACATGGAACAGGATATACGGTAAAGGAAAGTGGGAGATAACGGGGACTCTCTGTATAATGAAAACAAACAGACTATTGGATATCATGCAGTGTAAAAAAAAAATATTTCTAAGGGTTATAAAGTAGACAAATTAAAAAATTAAAAAAAAAACAGTGTTGTGTAACACTCACGAGCTTGACTTAGTGTTGAAAAAAAAAATAAAATAAAATATACAAAAATA